TTTTGAATTTGATGGAAAAAGACGCAATTTTAAGAACCAAAACGTCCAAATGTATAAAGTAATTACTAAAGAGATAAGGACTAAAATAAGAGGTGCAAAACAAACATACTTCGAAAACCAATGTTTATAAATTGAAGAGTTACAGGGAAAACATGATTCATTTAATATGTATAAAAAAATAAAAGAACTGACACGTCAGAACAAAAAACAGGCAAATAACATCGTTGATAGAGACGGAAAACTGATTATCACTAATTTGCATAAAATAGACAGATGGAAAGAGTATATTGAGGAACTGTTTAGTGATGAAAGGCCCGAGCTTGAAATTAACGAAGTAGTTACAGGACCTGACATAACTATGGACGAAATTGAACAAGCAATACAATTAGCCCGAATACAATACAAAAGACCCGAAAAGCGACGGGATCAGATGAAATACCGAGTGAAATAATAACGCTCTTCGAAAGTTTCAGAAAATATCTCTCCTTCATCTGTTTAATATAATTGATGAAACTGGCTATATACCAACGGATTGGCGGCTGTCGACTTTTGTGACGATACTTAAAAAAGCAAATGCAAAAAGATGTAGTGACGACCGAACCAACAGCTTGATGAGTCATGTATTAAAGATATTTCTACGAATTTTGCTCTCTAGGATATACCAAAAATAGAACAACAACTTGGTGACACGCAGTTTGGATTCCGCAATAACCTTGGAACAAGAGAAGCACTATTTAGTATTCAGGTTATGGTACAGAGATTCAGATTTGTCGGACATCCAGTTTATATGTGTTTTATTGACTTTGAGAAGGCCTTTGATCTAGTAAAACATACTGAAATGATAGCCATTCTTCAGCAGGTATTGATGATAAAGACCTACGCATTATTAAAAATCTTTACTGCATTAGCGTGCAAACATCAGGATTGGCCGCGACACTTCTGAAAAGCTTCAAATACGAAGAGGAGTAAGGCAGAGCTGCATTTTGTCCCCGCTACCATTTAACATCTATTCTGAGTTCGTTCTCAATAAAGCAGTGAATAATGTTCAATCTGGTATAAAAATGAATGGCGTCAATATTAATAATTTGAGATATGCGGATGACACAGTGTTAATTGGAAGCAGTATCGAAAAACTTCAACATCTACTTAATAGGATTACCACAACGTGTGATGAATATGGCCTTAAGCTAAACACTGCAAAGACAATGGTGATGGTCGTCAGTAAAACGTCAATATAACTGTAAGTGATAACAGCTTATGGTGAACAACTAGAGAGAACTAACAGTATCACTTACTTTTGTTGTAATCTAAATGAGAACTGGGATATCAGCAAAGAAATTAGAATACGGATAGAGAAGGCCTGAGCTGCATTCTTTAAGATAAAAAAACTGTTATGTGGAAACCATATTACTTTAAGTCTGAAAATTAGATTAGTAAGATGTTATGTGTTATGGTTGGATTTTGACGGATACACTTCTCAAGAAACTGGAAGCCTTTGAAATCTGGGTGTATCGGAGAATCCTACGAATAAGTTGGGTGGATAGAATTCGTAACGAAGTTGTTTTGCATCGGATGGGAAAAGTTACGGAAGTCGTCAAAACAATTAAAAATCGCAAACTTGAATATTTTGGCCATGTTATGCGCCACCCAGAGAGATATAATATACTCCATTTAATAATAGAAGGCAACGTAGACGTAAGGCAACGTAGACGTAAGGCAACGTAGACGTAGAAGAAGACAAGTCGAAGAAGAGGGCCAAGTCGAAGAAGAACATCATGGCTTAGAAACCTAAGAGATTGGTTTAACAGATCCTCTGTATCTCTTTTCCGAGCTGCCGTCAACAAAATTCCTATAGCCAATTGGATAGTCAATGCTCGATAATCGAGCTCGGCACATGAAGAAACGAACAATTTTTATGAACAATGAACTGACTGTACGCAGAGAACTATGTACGTAAGTAATTGGTCTCGCCTTAAAAACACAGAAAATAAATCTACACACTGTAAAGGCGCCCACTCACTCAAAAGGAAGCGCGAAGGATTGAATGTGCATTGCACGGGGTACAGTTAAAAGTGTGTGTGTTTAGCGTGTGCAATTATCATCGCGCGGGGAAGAACGAGAGTGTATGGGCAACAAGTCTCTGCATGTTTCATTTTCAATCAGTGCTGTACGACTGTTCGTTGGATGTTGCATATTATTAAGCATTTTATAATTTTATGAGAAAACAAACACTTAATTAAAAACCATGAGTGATATAAGGTGCATGTCGAGAGAGTTTATTACGGAATTCGTAGAGCTATACAGAAGTTATCCCTGTTTATGCCAGATTAAAAACAAAGCATACAGTGATCGTCAGAAAAAAAAATAAAGCCTACGAAGAACTAATTAAGAAAATGAGGGAAGTCAAACCCGATGCATCGAAAGAAAGTGTAGTGAGAAAAATCAATACAATGCGAGGAAGCTTCCGCAAAGAATGGAAAAAAGTAAATAAAAAAATATCCGGTATGGGCTCGAAAGAGGTATATGTACGTAAATTGTGGTATTACAATTTACTGCTATTTGTTTAAGATCAAGATGCACATCGTACTACCTTGTCAAATATGACTTAAGAAAACAACGTTTCTATAGATGTAAGTAAATTTTATTTTCTTAATAAGTACCTAATTATTAATTACATATTATTAGCTGGAACGATGGTGATTTATAAATCAATGATAACTGTGGTTCCTGACTAACTTCGATAACGGTGATCAATGACCAGATATTTATATCAGTATCAGATATCAATTTCACTGTCGCTGTCTCACAAAACGTGTTTATATAATAAATATTACGATATTCTCGGTAATTGAGAGTTGAGGAACAGCTATCATTTTCTGTGGGATTTACAGTGAATATTACGAGCTGTGAAATATGTACGAGATATGTTATTGTAAACGTATTGAATATTTTTTTCTTTCATAAAAACATTCTTAAAAGTATATTATACAAAAAATTTACTTGAAATTTTAGAGATATTTTTCCTTTTGTAATACACGACATATTGCTTCACATGTTTCCGGAATAATTCAACCTAATGTCTGAGCTGAAATTATTGTTGAAAATTTTAAATCCTCATAGCTCCTTCCCGTTGCCAAAAATCTTAATGTTGCAGTTAGCCTTTCATGTGCCGTTATAGCCTGTCGCATTCGCGTGTCCTGTTGTTGTATCAAAGGAGTTACTAAAGATCTCTCTCTTCAATCCTGACCCCCCAGGGGGAGTGTAGTGGTCGACGTGATGTCGTGTATTGTCCGTCTCCAGAGATCTCTGTCTCTGGTCATTTCTTTTAATTCATGCATAGGTCTTTGGCATATTCCTGTAATTTGATCTACCCATCTTGTTGGGGATCTACCCATTTATATACCAAGAACCTATCTCAGCCACACCCCGAGTGTCGGATGAGTCCTCTTGACCGTGCTTGATTGGAAGAGGTCCACTTTTCGCGGGGGTGTGTGGCATATACATGTCGCGCCCCCTACACACAAACTGCGTAACTTGCGCCTCTCCCCATTCACACACTCCCAAATTCTCAATCTTTGACCGGAAGGTCGATAAACATTTCTGACGGAGGGCAGCAGCGACCGCCAGTACTAAGTTAAGGCGTATAGGAAATTATCCTGAACCGGCTTATCATTGGAATTTCACAAGCGGAGCTGTAACAGCAGAAAGGTTGTGATACTGCGATGCAATAGGGCAGGGGAAACCATTGCATAATAATTCCCAAGAAAGTTATGCGTGATGTCATCGAATGGAATGCCTCGGATGTTGTCACGCAGCCCGGTTGACGACCGGCGCTACCTTGAGTCCGGGTCAAGTAGTGTTACTAAAGATAATAGTTCAAAATATGTATCTTGATCCATTCTCAAGTAATTATGCCAAACTAATGAATCCAGTCGCAATTCTTCGAGTAAACTGACATGAGAGTACGTAGCTCGTTTTTGTAACCAAGTCTTTGTCCATTGCGACCTTGGTTTTCTTTTATTACGACACATTTCTTTAATACAAACACACGCCACTGTCATTAATAAAAGATCATTTTTGGACGTCATGTTCACTTTAACCGTACTTCTAAACTGAAGGCAAAAGTGGTGCTGATCGACAGGCGAGTAAAACTGCGGTTTTGTGGCTCGTCGGTAAAGCTCGTCAGTGTATCATTGGAATACCGCGGTTTTATATACATAAGAGCCTGGCTCGCAGCTCGTCAGTTTGTTTTATTTTTACTTGGCTCGTCGTTTAAAACCGCGCGTGTATCACGGGTGGCGAACCAAACCGGCAGTTTTTGGCGACCGTTGAAGTGAACAGACGTATTATATAGCCAGGTAACACAAAACTTCAGTTGAACACGAGATGTTGGCTGTGAACGGTTGACACGACTGTTTTGCTCGCTAGTCGATCAGCATTAAGGAGCCGCGAGTAAAACCGTCGTTCTTAAAACCGCGGTATTATGACTCGTTCGTCGATCACCCACTTTACAGCAAACATGCAGAGACTTAATTACGCATTCTTCCCTTCTTGGTGAGTGGGTGCCTTTAGAATGACCACCATAAAACCATTTTATTATTTGAACGTTTTCTGCGGGCATATAAACAGACAAGTTGTTTACAAAAACAAATTAAAAATCTACGCTCTTATTGCTTTAAACAACCACTGTATAATGACAAATTATTGACATCGGGGCAACGGAGGTTCGTGGAAAGTTGACAGCGTGTAGTGTTGCCATTTATAGTGAATATATCTAATTTAAAACTTAACGTACTGTATTAATAAATTCGTGTCTATTATCTTAAACACCAGTACTAACTTAAATTTTAATTATACCTATAAAAACTTAAATTATTTTAATTATTTTTATTCGTTTAGATAAATACCGTTCTGTAGTTTAGCAAACGATGCTGAGTGGAACATATTTTATTAATTTGTAATACATATTTTCTGTATTAACATAATTCATTGTTTTTCAGGTGAACACCCGGCAGCAATGCAACACGGCAACAAGAACACAGCCTCTCTGTCTCTCTCGATTCAAGGCACGATTGTATATAGCATCTTCGTTATAGTAATGAAGCAAGTCAGATGAAACCTCTTGTAAATACGACTCTATCATTTGTCAACCCTCATTTCTGAACAATCCTTTAACCTTCATCACAACCCACACGCCCGCTCTGTCTCTTTCTTCCCTTCCCCGATTCCCTCTTTTTAGCGTAAGTACCAACCAAATACCTTCCATTTGTCATCGACACAGAGAAAATAAATCCTCTACCAAATGTTAAAACATATCTTTGTGTTATAAATGAGCGATAAAAGTTTAAAAATCACTTCACAATGTTCCTCAAGAAACTAGAGCCCGTATTTGCGATTTCTCTAAAGCGTTTTGCGTTAGTCCAGGAAAATTAGACCCCCAAATCTAATTTCTTTCGATTGCTTTTTTTAGTTTTTAGGAAAAAAATGTTACTTTAAAAAAATATATTTTCATAAACTGAAATATGAAACTGTGACCAATATTTGGTATATAAATGAAAATATATTATTGGTAACTTTTGAAGACGGAATTTTTAAGATTATCAGTTAATATTCAAATAAATATTAAGTGCGTAACTGAATAATACAGCGATTGACCACAGTAGTAGTCTTTACGTCCTTTAATAAAACAAATGAGACAAAAGAAAGCTGAATCAGAAAGTAATTTAATTTCATTTTATACAGTTTTATCAAATTACAAGAAGCAAAATTATAGCTATCTTTAGAAAATATAAGCACAGTGATATCTCAAAGTGTTTAATCTTTGATCAAAATGTACCTGTTTTTCTTTTATACTTTGTAAGTTTGTTTTAAATTTAAAGAGAGCTAAAATAAGCAGGGAGAAATAAAACAGATAAAACCTATAATAAAAAAACTGATAAAAACTGAAACTAAAGAACCAGAAAAATCAGAATTTATTTTGTACAACACTTGTACGGTGTTTGTATATTGCTATCTGGTCACAAAGGACTAATCATTAGTAATTTTCTGACCTAACTTCTTCTTCTTAGAGTGCCGTCTCCCTACGGAGGTTGGCAATCATAATGGCTATTTTTATTTTAGAACTTGCTGCTCTAAACAAATCAATCGATCTGCATTGGTACCAATCACGTAGATTCTTTAATTATGAGTTCTGCCTTCGGCCAACAGATCTTCTTCCTTGAATCTTTCCCTGTATTATCAGTCTCAAAATTTCATATTTTGGTTCCCTCATCACGTGGCCTAGGTATTCCAGTTTTCTGGTTTGTATAGTGGTGATTAGTTCTGTTTCTTTACCAACCCTCTCCATACTTCTTTATTTGTAATTCTATCAGTCCATGATATTTTCAATAATCTGCGGTATAACCAGAGTTCGAAAGCCTCGATTCTTTTTAAATTACATTTTTTTAATGTCTAAGTCTCAGCTCCATATAATAATATTGAAAATATATAACAGCGAATGGTACGTAGTCTGATCTCCAAATTTAGATTTTTGCACGTTAGGAGTGGCTTCATTTGTATAAATGCTGATCTGGCAATCTCTATTCGTCTGTTTATTTCTACAGTATGATCATTGGTTTCATTGATCAAAGTTCCCAAATACTGATATTTTTCTACTTGTTCTATCACGTTACCATTTATTGTCAATAGGTGATGTATATTTTGTGGCCTTTTTGTAATCAGCGTGTACTTCGTTTTTTTAGCGTTTATAGTAATTCCCATCTCAGCACTATTTATACTCAAGCTTTCGATAAGATGTTGTAGATCCTCTATACTCGTTGCTATGATCACAGTGTCGTCTGCATATCTTAAATTATTAATTAATTTTCCGTTAACGGTGACTCCCGCTTCGATATTATTGAGCGTGTTTTGGAAAATTTCTTCAGAATATAAGTTAAACAAAAGTGGTGATAACACACATCCCTGTCTAACTCCTCTACAGATCCTCATTTCTTCTGAGTGTTGCCCATCAATTTGAACTATGGCACTTTGGTTCCAATATAATGTTTGCACTATATTTATGATGTTACTGTCAATGCGCTTGTTCATAAGTATTGATATTAGTTTTTCATGTCTTACTTTATCGAAAGCTTTTTCGTAGTCAACGAAGCACAAGTGTAGATCAACATTTACATCCCGACATCGCTGAATCAATATGTTGATGGCAAATAGTCCTTCTCGAGTACCCATTCCATTTCGGAACCCGAACTGCGTCTCGCTAATATCCTCCTCTAGCCTTTCGTATATTCTCTTATGTATTATTTTTATCAGAACTTTTAAAGTTGACTCATGAAGCTCAGTGTTCGATAATCAGAGCACTCTTTTGCTGATTGTTTTTTAGGGATGGTTATAAATGCTGACTTTAGCCACTCCTGTGGTATTATTCCCGTATCGTATACCGTGTTGAATAAATCTGCCAATACTTCCAAGTTGTCCTCTTCCACTAGTTTTAACAGTTCTACTGGTATTTCATCTAATCCAGCTGCCTTATTGTCTTTAGAGTTTTGATAGCATATTTGATTTCATCTATCGTGATCTTCTGTAATCTCTAAAGGATTTAATTCTTGTATTTTCTGCATTTCACCTCTTTCATCTTGGAAAAGTTCTCTAACGTACTACTCCCATCGCCTTAACTTCTCTGGTTTCAGTAATGTGTTTTTTATATTACACCACTTTTTATTTACATCCATAATTTGTTTGTTGTCAGTTAGTGTTTTTTGCATATTAACATTCACATTATTTTTTATTTCGTTTTTTACTTCTTCGTTTTGTAGCATTCTTACGTTAATTTTTGGTTGTTGTTTTCTGAGTTCAATTCTTTTTAATTTTATTTTCACGTCAGCCACTAGCGGATTGTGGTCTGAGTTAACATCTGCTCCAGGATAAGTTTTAACTGAGGTTATAGAGTTTTTACGAGTATAACGTCTATCTGGTTTCTGACAATGTGGTTTTCTGTATGTGAAGGAGACGTCCATGTATATAGTCTTCTTTTAGGAAGCTGAAACCAAGTATTGGCAATTACCATATTCTTTTCTTGGCAGAATTCTATGAGCCTTTCTCCTCCCTCGTTTCTAGTTTCTAGTCCGAACTGTCCAACTATATTTTCAACTGTACCTACTCCAATTTTTGCATTAAAATCTCCTAAAATGTAAATAATATCTCTAGATTTTGTTAACTTGATTGTATTGTGCAATCCTAAATAAAAGTTTTCGATCTCATCTTCGGTCTTATCAGCAGTGGGAGCGTAAACTTGGATCATATTAATATTACAGTTCCGTGCTTGACTTTTTCACCTAACTTAATAAACGGCAAATACTTAAACCTAAGGGTTTGCGTTATAACTTACTCTTATTTTATCTATCAACTAATGCACTGCAACTAACATGCAATAACATCACAGCATTATACTCTGCTTTTTACACTTAACTGTTACACATTTACACTAACTTAAATGGTTTTGTGCTTATGAGTCTTCTCTTTAGATCAATGTTGTTAAGAAGCTGCATTGCCTCGACATTCACATGACTATGCAGCCTCTGCTCGTGACTTGTTGCTGTTCTCTTGATTACTTCGGTCACAGTTTATATACCCAGGTCCTGGTACAGGTTCCTCAGTGCTTTGTTTTGAAATCTCTGGATAATATGTAGATTACTAGTTTTGTTACAGCCCCAGAGCTGGCACCCATATAACCATACTGGCCTCAGTACTTGCTTGTAAATGGATAATTCCCCTCTTTTCTTTTTGACATAGACTTTATAGCGCAGCCTCGCGGCTAGGGTGACGCCTAAGTTTTTTGTTGATGTTGCATTATGAACTTTGGTATCAATTATTCCAACTGAGAAATTTTCCATTTTTTATTTGTAAAGTTAATGTGTGCAGATTTAGTCTCATTTAATTTTATTCGCCATTTTCTGGTCCAGATACGTATTGTATTTACTGATAGTTGAAACTTATCAGTCGTTTCTTCACTAGTGTCTCCTATCGCTAGTATGGCTGTATCATCCATGAAGATGGCAATATTGTTTTGTTCTAGCTCTGGAATGTCACACGTATACAATAGGTACAGGACCGGACCTAATGTGCACGGACCTAATGTCTTGTGTCACGCCAGGTTTGATCTCCCTTAAATCGGTGTATACTTCTTCTTGTTTTACTCTGAAATATATATTTGCAATTTATGATTCTAAGATTTCTGAATACGGTTTAGGCTTTCTGTTCTAATGTTTTATTTTTTTCAATTATATTTGATATTATGTGAATTTGTTTATTTATTTCTGAATTTTTTTTTCCATTATTGGTTTTAATATTTTCAATAGAAGCTTTTCAAATAGTTTTGACATCACCGAAAGTGATGTCAATACTATTTAAAACAATTTGTAAGGTATTATTCGATAGGATATTACTTCGTTAGGAGGTTTACCCAGTTTGGCGATCATAATGACTTCGGCTACTTTCCAGAGTCTGGCAACATGTCTCAATCTAAAAGCAAAATTTATTAGGTGTGCCAGCTTAACTATGGCTTTTCTTCGTAGATTTTTAATAGTTCTCCTATTATGAGATTATATCCTGAAGCTAACTTAAGATTTATAATCTCTTTTATCTGCGCTGATACTTCTCTAAATGATGTCAACGTTATTCTTTCTTCGGATTGAAATGGTACTTCCCATATCACTTCTTCACCATCATTGTCGTTGAGTTTAAACGTGTTTTTAAATTATCTGCAAATCTTTCTGCTTTCTGTTCATTACTTCTACCCCAGTTGCCGTTTTCCAACTTAATAGAAAGATAATGAATAATTGGTCTTTTCACTCTTTCTATTGCCTTTCATAATGAGTAATCTGTGCTCTGGTTAGCTGTTATATTACTTAAAAAGGAATCAATTGTTAAATTTTTATATGCTGTATCTCTCTTTTTAGTTTTTGTGTAGCATTATTCGTGGAGCTCTGTATTGCTGCCATTTTTTCCTAACCTTCTTTTTTATATTATGAGTTCTCTGATTTCTTTTGATAGTTGTTACCTCTTGTTGTAGAAGTTATTGTCAGAGTATTTTTCCAAGCTACCTGTTGAAAATTTTCTAATGTGTTATCAAGTTTGCCTCCTGTTTCTCAATGCCACAGCAAGATTAATTTTGTGTTCAATGTCTAATACTG